TGTCTGGGTTTGTACTTATACATACACACACACACACATACACACACGCATACACATACACATACAAATACACACACACACACAAACAAACACACATACAAATGCGTACACACAGCAGAATAACAACATTTATGAATATGAAAACAAGACCTGAAATAAAATGACATAAGAAACTAAACCTTCAAACAGAACACGGAACACAGACTCCAAAATCTTGGAAACGCAACTTACAAGTGACACGAAGCAGGAAACGCAACCTAAGTTGAAGCGGAGAACATCATTATCATGACTAGAAATATTTAAGGGGAATAAAGCAAGCTTTCACCTAATATGATATAATATATATATATATATATATATATATATATATATATATATATATATATATATATATATATATATATATATATGTATAAAATGCATATGATATATATACATATAATATATATATATATATATATATATATATATATATATATATATATATATATATATATATATATATATATATATATATATATAATATATATCATATGCATTATATATATATATATATATATATATATATATATATATATATATATATATATATATATATATATATATATATATATATATGTTTATATACATATATATATATATATATATATATATATATATATATATATATATATATATATATATATATACATATATATATATATATATATATATATATATATATATATATATATATATATATATATACATATATATATATATATATATATATATATATACATATATATATATATATATATATATATATATATATATATATATATATATATATATATATATATGTGTGTGTGTGTGTGTGTGTGTGTGTGTGTATATATTTATGTATATATATTCATCTATCTATCTATCTGTTTATCTACCTGTAGATAATTATAATTCTATTTACCTAATTATATATAAGGAATTTCACTGGTAGTATCTGAATTGATCGTTTAAGTATGTTAGGGCACCATGACCTAACCTAATCTAATCTATCTTAGCTTAAACTAACCTAAAACATAGCTTTGCCTTATTGAAGGATAGTAGAAAAGGGATACTATTGTATAACTATATTTTGAATGCTATGTGATATAATCCTTATTGTTATTGCTGTTATCACCAGCATCTTTTTTATTATCATTGCCATTATTATGATTACTTATTATCATTTCTTTGCAAAAAATCTTTCACATACGAGTGATTAAAAGCACGAATTAGTGACTAATCTGAACATCTTTTGAAAATCTTAAAGTCTCAAGTGTTTTTTTTTTGCTTGAGGTTATTTCATCTTAACAACCAAAATATACAGTATAGTAACACAAAATCTGGAGGCCAAATCAAGTCTATATTTCTGTTTCTATAGATTGCCACATAAATAATGTCTGATATCAGATACACAAATAAAATAGTGTGTAACATGATAAACGCAAGTTATCATGCAACTGAATACTTTATCATTCCATAAGATAGGCCTCAATAACGGTTTTGTCCAACATTTGTTTGCAATAGATGTTCACATAATTGATTCAGGTACCTGGGAATTTTTTTTTTCTTTTTTTTTTTCTTTGTAACTTTATGCTTTGCTCAAAGGTCACCGTAGCAAAATTTATGAACTGTTTCACATGTCAAGTTAATTACCGGTGAAACTGTAACGAATGAAGGGTTTAAATCACAAATCTTGATATTTTCATTCATATTGATCTCTTAGACAAGGGTTTAGGGAGATTAAACCTTCAAATGAGTTTAACATGAGTTTAATCTTTAACAACTTTCGTTTTGCAAAATCCTGTCAGGTTTGATGTATATATAATTATTAATCTATCTATCTATCTCTCTAAAGTATCTGTACATACATAAATCTAACAAAAAGGAGTTTCACTAGTATTAGTTTGATATATACGATAATAATTATGAAATTTGGATAACACATCGTGGATAGAGGTAATATCCTTCAGTATAATATATCGTATGTTCACTCAGGGGGAAAAAAAACTACTGGCAACTCAACCGAACTCTGGCAAACTCTAATTTATTCTAATCAGCTGACACTTGTTATTTCTATTCACATATAATACATCTAATTATACCATTTTTAAATCAAAATTTACTGCATTCATCACCGCATTATGTATTTAATCACTTTTCATTGAAAGAAAGTTGGTGTTTCAGAATAATCCAAAATACGGATTTCAGCTTCGGGTTTCTTGTGAGACTAGAATACTGACTAGCTTTTATTCTGAACTGGCTCTAATGTGTATAAAATGTATATAAGTATAGGTTTTATCTACAGGGCCCTATACTTGCAATTGTTTCAGGTAAGGTGGACGTAACATCGGCGGTGTCAGGCGTACGAAAACCCATCGGCCAAAATGTCGTTTATTTATTATACCATAATGATAACAACAATTATAATGATAATAATTACAAAATAACAATGACGGTATAAGAGCAATGATAAAAACAATAATAACGACAGTAATTATCAAAACGATTATAATAAATACAGTACATTCATAACGTGCTTATACATTAATTACGCCTGATATATTTCTTTTGTAGATAGGAATCTCTTGATATTTGATGGGCTTGACACTGCAAACTGGTTCTAAGAAAAACACTATTCATGATACTTATTTCTATTACTATAGTTTTAACGATGGCATTCTACTACTACTTCTACTTCAATAATGATAATGATGATAATAATTACCATGATAATAATTAATGTTATATATCATTAATATCGTTTATATGGAAGACAATATATATATATATATATATATATATATATATATATATATATACATATATATACATATATATATTTATATACTGTCTACCAAAATGTATGCAAATACGAATGTATTACCCTGGCTGTAACTCAGTACTTCGATATTATCGTTTCCACCGTGCGTTTCATTACATAATATCAATTAAGTACTCCTTAAATAACGAAATGAAGGGTTGCACAATAAAACACAAGAAGTATTTGGTATTTTATCTATTTAGCAATGGGTCGCGCATGTGTGTTGACAAGCAGGTTGGCGCGCCTGTGTGGGTGGAACTTAAACTTGAAATCACTTGAAATTCGCCAGAAAAATGAATAGATAAATAAAATAAACAAAATCAAATGATTGCGAGAAATTACAGATACGGACGGTAGACGCATAGCCTTTTGTTTATGCTAATCCAACCTTGACTGTGCTAAGTTGACCTTCTTTTCCCCTTTCTAACCGAATCTGATTTTGTCTAAACATTTTCTATACTAATTTAAACTTGTCTAACCCAATTTAATCTAGTCTACATTAATCCAACCTTGTCTAATCTAATCTGATTGTCTTCAGTAATCTTTGTCTTACTTAATCTAAACGTGTCTATACTAATCTTAACGACTCTAATAATCCTAATGTTTATCTAAACTTATCTAACCTAATCCTATCCTAATCCATCTATGTCTATCGTAAGCTAAACGTATCTACACAAACTTAAAGACAACTTAAACTCACTAAAATCTAACTTAATCCAACCTAAAAAAAAAATAGCCTGTCTTCTAACCCAATATATCCTAACCTAACCTAACGCAACTTCGCTTATTTTTACTAACGTTTAAAAAATATTTCTGTACTATTCTGACCTGGCGATAAAACTGTACTATAAATCGTTCGTTGCATCAGACCAGCCTCATAAATGGAACAAAAACTCGATTTTTCATGTTGACATTTTATCGGTTATTATCTAGGAAACCTATACATTTTCAAATATGTGCGTCCATTCGCTTGGTAAAGTATGTATAGATTGTGGATGGGGGCACTCACACACACACACACACACACACACACACACACACACTCACATATATATGAACACACACACACACACACACATACACACACACACATACACACACACACACACACACACACTCACATATATATGAACACACACACACATACATATATATATATGAACACACACACACTCACATATCTATGAACACACACACACACACACACACACACACACACACACACACACACACACACACACACACACACACACACACTCACTCACTCACATATATATGATGAAGATAATAATAATGATAACAACAACAACAATAATAATGACGATAATGATATTAGCAATAGTAATGAGGATAATTACAAAAATAGTAATAACAATGATAATAACAAAACGTGCAACTTTATTCGAATATCTCGGGACAAAAGGCTTCAACTGCCATCAAACGTAAACAACAAAGAAAATAACGTTATTTACGAGTGGGAGCGCTGTCTTCCAGAACATAAAGGTTGGAATGGAAGGGAAAAAAAAATCTCTCGCTCTCTGTCTCTCCCTCTCTTTTGTATGTGTGTGTGTGCCAGTGTCGCTTTCAGTCTGTTTATTTTCTTATCTATTATCATTATTTTTTTTTTATTTGTGTCGCTCTGTTTTTTGCCCTTTCTGTTTCTGGCTCTGTCTGTTAGTGGCTCTGTCTATTAGTGGCTCTGTCTTTGTCTCTGTCTGTCTGTCTGGCTCTCTCTCTTTCTCTCTCTCTCTCTCTCTCTCTCTCTCTCTCTTTCTCTCTCTCTCTCTCTCTCTCTCTCTCATCCTCTTTCTCTCTCTTTCTCATTTTTTTTTTTCAGCAGAACGAAATAACCAACGGATAGAGATTTTCCATTTCGGTACTTGATACTAAAACACAAAACACACTCAACATGGCGAAAACATAATTTTGCTTTCCCCCAATCATCTGGGATTAAAAATGATTAGTTGATGAGACCTAAAAGTTGCAGATGCATCGCGTAAACTTTGTTGTAATAGAGGGAAAAAAAAAGGTCCAGGCTTTGATAAAAGAGGATTATTATTATTATTACTATTATTATTATCATCATTATTTTACTTCATATTCTTTTCCTTTGTATATTTCAGATCTGGTGTTCAATTTTCTACATGTGCCTTAGTATCAGAGATGCTTTCCAAGGAGTTGACTGGTGAACATGCCTTTCATAGTACAAATTCTATACACAAAGAGAAAATGATAATACGCAGCAATTATCTTCAGGCAAAAATTAAAAAAAAATATAAAATACTTTATTATTTCCTATATTCTTAACAATGTATTTTTACCAATGAAGTCACATATAACTTGTTACATACATCTTTTGGGGGAAACTTAAGAAAAAAATATATATTTCATGCGAAAGTAAATTCATGTAAACATACATATGAAATAGAATAATAATTCTTGAAAGGATTGTTTAGTTGCATATTTGGCATCAAAGGAAGCTTATAGTAAAACAAATCTAAGAAATCTGTGATATCGCAATAAATGCTTATCCTCTTCATTAAGAGAAACTAATGACTCCCTATAATAATGTCTCACGTTGCAATGTTCGATCAACAGTCAATTTATATTTGATTCACGATAATGGTAATGCGTGAAAACCAAAGAAAATAATAGACAGTTGAAATTCCCCGGTATTAAATAAGGAAAAGGCATGTTACTGTTAAATATAGTTTTTTGTCGACTAAGTAATCGTACTATATCCAAACTATATCCGGTTATATATACTGTATCCGGTTCCAAACCCGTACGAGAGCCCCGGAGCAGTTGTAACTAACAAGGTACTTTACAATGTATGACGTCATGACATGGTTGTTAATTTTGTTTCGAGTATGACCTTCGGATGCTATTGTAACGGCTCCGTGGCGAGATACAACATTGTAGACTGTGTTTTGAGTATCCGGACCAAGGCAAATAGCTGTGCCTCGTACCGATTTTGATAATTTCTTACAAAGAATGGCGAGTCTCGTTAAAATTCTCCGAGTCACTGTTGGCGGGGATTGTGGCCACCATCCGCCGTCTCCTTTCCTTATTCCCATGATCATTTCGAGGGAAAAAAATACGAAACAGTTTTCCCAGGACGTTATGCATAGCCGAGCCATAATGGAGTTCAATTGAATTCCAACTGACTTCCCATAACTTCTATTGTCACGTGATTATCTATAACCAGTTCTCATTGGCTCTAATAGACAAGTCGCTAGCGTCTGTTGTCACATCACGACCAAAATAGATTTTAATGGACTCTTTTGTCTTTCCCTCGCATACGTTATAAGCTACGATTCCTTCCGACTTTCTTACTTTGTTTTCTCCATTATATTTTTTTTCTCAATTTTGTGATATTATCCCAATTTAACGATATTTTCTCTCTCTCTGCTGGCAGGGTGCACGTCATTGAGCTCATGGAAATATTGAATTTTACATCCACTTTGACCAGTTCTTCGTGAAGGATATCTTTTCCAATAATATCGTCCAAATACATCTATTGCAAAAAAATAAAAAATAAAAATATACATTCGGCTCCATACCATTTCTTGTATCGACTTACAAAATTACTTCGCTGATCGACAGTTAAACCAACAAACACAATAAACATACAAACACAGACAGTAATTACATAAAAGGCACATTGTATAAACAAATATACGCTTACAGCTCGGAACATACAGTGTTTGGCCCACCGGGAGTTCAAACTTTTCTTTTTGTAATGACATATTATAAGTGTAAATTGCAATGCCCTATTGTAAATGCCCAATTGTAAATGGCCTATTGCAATGCCCTATTGTAAATGGCCAATAGTAAATGTCCTATTGCAATGCCCAATTGTAAATCCCCTATAATAAATGGCCTATTGCAATGCCCTATTGTAAAGGTCCTATTGCAACGCCCAATTGTAAATGGCCTATTACAATGCCCCATTGTAAATGGCCTATTGTAATGTCCTATTGCAATGCCCTGTTGTAAATGTCCTATTGCAATGCCCTATTGTAAATGGCCTATTGCATTGCCCTATCGTAAATGCCCTATTATAAATGTTCTATTGCAATATCGTATTGTAAATGGTCTATTGCAATGCCCTGTTGTAAATGTCCTATTGCAATGCCCTACTGTAAATGGCCTATTGCATTGCCCTATCGTAAATGTCCTATCGTAAATGCCCTATTATAAATGTTCTATTGCAATACCGTATTGTAAATGGTCTATTGCAATGCCCTGTTGTAAATGTCCTATTGCAATGCCTTATTGTAAATGGCCTATTGCAATGCCCTATTGTAACTGTCTTATAATAGATGGCCTATTGCAATAGCCTATTGTAAAGGTCCTATTGTCCTATTTGCAATGCCCTCTTGTATTGTGCTCAGAGACACCGGCAGAAAGAGGAAGAAATAACAGCACCTAACACTCTGTTCAGACAAAAAGATGTTCTGTTTTCCCTTGTCTTTTCCCTAGCCATGCTCTACACTACGTCTTCCTGTCATTATAGGTGAAAATTCGAAACAAATTTCGCTTAGAGCAGTCTCTGCGTATGTAGACCTCTGTGTATGTGTGTTTGTGTATCTATAGGCATGCATTAATATATTCCTGTGTCAGATTTTTATTCTTTTTAATACTGATGCATAACAAATATTATAGGCCTACATCGGTCACCGTCTTATACTTTACATGTTATACACGTAACCACACACATCAAATGTCCGAGTGCATTCCCCATATAACAAAATCCATAGTGGAAGCTAAATAAACAGATAAATCAGAATTCTCTAGTTACCGGTAAAAATTTCCGTTTTCTGTGCAGTCACGAGGAAACAGAAAACGACCACGCTTCTTGGTTGCCATGGAAACAGGAAACAAGTTGATATTCCGAGTAACGGCACAGCATACAAGTTTAATGAATCTCAAACGCATATATCTACGATATTATCCTCCAGGTAAGGAGAGAGGCTATAATAATTGACATGTTCCTGCCATAATGACCATGTCTGGGTGTCAATAACTTGTGGGTGACAGAAAAATATGGTCATGTAATTAATTCCTATTTTTAGTAGAATAACTCAGTTTCTGCGTATTCCATGGGCGTAGTACGTTTTATTGTGTGTTTTATATCAAAGGCCATAGACAGATAGAAACACAGATAGGTGAAATTGCCACTATAGACACTCACGCACACACCTATTGAGAGACGGAACAGATGTGTATTATATGTAGAAATATATGTGGATTTTTTGCACGTTTCTTTATGAGTGCAAAAATGTATGTTTGTGTGTACGTATGCGTGTGTGTTTAAATGATATATATATATATATACATATATATATATACATATATATATATATATATATATATATATATATATATATATATATATATATATACATATATACATATATACATATATATATATATATATATATATATATATATATATATATATATATGTATATATATATATATACATACATATATATATATATATATATATATATATATATATATATATATATATATATACGTATATATATATATATATACACGCACACACACACATGTGTGTGTGTGTATGTGTGTGTGTGTGTGTGTATTCACATTTATATGTATATATATGTACAAACACACGCACACACACTCACGCATATATTTTAGGAAATTGCATCAAATAACCATTTACACATCCATATATTAGATACGTATAATTAATCACCTTCATTGCATATTTTTTTTTGCTTGTTTCACCTAATGACACAATGTTTGCAACGCTCATACTTGTCTTTTATTTTATATATATATATATATATATATATATATATATATATATATATATATATATATGTATATATATATATATATATATATATATATATATATATATATATATATATATATATATATATGTATGCGTGTGTGTGTGTGCATATATATATATATATTTTTTTACTTTTCTTTCTTTTTTTCTTTTTTTTTCTATTTATTTATATGTATGTATGTATGTATGTATGTATGTATGTATGTGTGTATGTATGTATGTATCTATTTATATATCTATCTATATATATATATACATATATATATATATATATATATATATATATATATATATATATATATATATATATATATATATATATATATATATATATCACAAAATTTGCAAATGCTCACACGCACAGATTAGGAAATTATGGGTTAGTCTTACCTAGACAACAGTGATGCCCGGCTGCTTGTAGTTCAGTTTGTGCATGGGCAAAGGCTATGTATATGTACGTATTTATATATATACGTACATATGTGTATATGTACGTATATATATGTATATATATATATATATATATATATATATATATATATATATATATATGTATATATATATGTATACGCACACACACACACACACACACACACACACACACACACACACACACACATATATATATATATATATATATATATATATATATATATATATATATATATATATATATATATGTGTGTGTGTGTGTGTGTGTGTGTGTGTGTATGTGTGTGTGTGTGTGTGTGTGTATGTGTCTTTTATTATCTTAATCTTATGTATTTATTTATTCACTTATGTATTTTATTTCTTATTTTTAGGATTAACGTTCGAATTGACGGACGCTGCCGGAGACTCCTGGCGACGAGATGTGGAACTACTCGATCTTGGTCCTCAGTAAATATATATATATTTAATTTATTCATAAAGTTATATTTCTCTTCTTGTCTTCTCTCTTGCTCCTACGCATGGCCATACATACACACATAATATACATACATACACACATGAAACACACACACACACACATGTACAACAGTAGCAGTGGAATTCATAGTAGTGAAAGTAGTAGTAGTAATTATAATAACGACAATAGTGATAACAGTAATGGCAGCATGTAATAGTAACGTAGTAGTAGTAGTAGTAGTAGTAGTAGTAGTGGTTGTTGTTGTTGTAAGCGCAATAATCAGCAATAGCAACAGTTGTAGTTATACCAATAATGTTTATAACTCGTAGTAATAATGATAGTAGTAGTAGTAGTAGTAGTAGTGGTGGTAGTAGAAGTAGTAGTGGTAGTAGTAGCAGTTGTCGTTGTAATATTAGAAGTAGTAATAAAGATATATATATATAAATATATATTAGTAATAATAGTATTAATAGTAAAAACAATAGTAAGAGCAGCAGCAAAAGTAGCAACAATAATCGTAACAGTAGCAACAATGACAGCAATAACAATAACAATAGTAACCGTCGTAGTAACAAAAGCCACGAAAGTGAACAGAGGCAACAACAACAGTAGTAGTAACATCAAGAGCAAGACCAACATAAAAAGTAAGAAAAACAACGGAAAACACACACACACACACACACACACACACACACACACACACACACACACACACACACACACACACACACACACACAAACAAACACACACACACACACACACACGTTATATGCAACAGCTGTCTTTCAGGGTGGGGCTTAATACTCACTAATCAGCTGTTTTAATCGAATCTCAGATTGGGTAATGGACTCTCGTCTCTCGTTAAAATGACCAAAAAGGAAAATTAAAAAAGGGGGCGGGGAAATGGGTGAGATTACGTCATTTAATGAATCATTTGATGAAATAGATAAAAAAAAAAAAAATAGCGAGATTATTAAATAGATAGGATTTAAAGAAAATAAAAAGAAAGAGGTAGGAATGATCCTTGGATTAATGAAATGAGGAAATTGATTGATGAGATAGATAGATAGACTGATGAGAGAAATCGGATTAATGAAGAAGATTCAGTAACCTAACACATTAATGAATTGATTAGATACGTAAGAATGGGTGTGTGGGCGTGAGGGAAGGAAGTATAGAGCACAAAGGTCAAAGGTTAAAGATTAGTATGTGGGAATCGTAGTAAAAAATGGCTTGTGTTTTCAGTGCTGTTGTTGTTGTTGTTGTTACTGTTGTTGTTGTATTTTTTTCTGCTTTATTTGTTTATCCGATTTTGTTTGTTTGTTTGTTTTTGTGGATTAGTTTTGGTTTAGTTGTTTTATTTTTATGTTGTGATTGTTGTTTAGATAGCTGTTGCTTCTGCTGTTAATTTAGGTTATAATGTTATATTGTTGTTTTTGATGATAATAATCATTAATCTATTATGTTAACTATTATCATTATTGAATTGATTTTTTTCCCATCATTTGACCCAGCGTTTGGAAACATAATTTACCTTAAACCTTTACTAAACTCACTTAACAAAACCTATTTTCACCTCCGCATCCCGCCCCTCAGTTCGACCGTGGGCGACGTGGTGGAGAAGGTGATGGCGCAACACTCGTGCGTGGGCGGCCAGCGTGGGCGTCTGGAGAGGCTGGTGGGGCGGCTGGTGGCTGCCCTCAGAGCCTCCACGACCGCCGCCCACGCCCGCCACAAGACGCTTCGCTCGCACATCCTGCCGCTGACCAACGTGGCGCTGAATAAGGACGCCTCCGTGTAAGGACCCTGGGGGACGTGGGAGGGGGGGGAGGAAAGGGGTTGTGTGGGTGTGGGGTTGTGTGGGTTGTGTGGGGGTAGGGTATGTTAGAGTGTTGGTAGGTGAGGGTGGGGGATGTGGTTGCAACCAATCTAATATTTATGTGTGCGTGTGTGTGTGTGTGTGTGTGTGTGTGTGTATAAACACACACATGAATACACACACACACACACACACACACACACACACACACACACACATATATATATATATATATATATATATATATATATATATATATATATATAAATATAAATATATATATATGTATATATATATATATATATATATACATATATATATAAGTATAAATATATATATATATATATATATATATATATATATATATATATATATATATATATATATATATTTTTTTTTTTTTTTTTTTTTTTTTTTTTTTTTTTTTTTTTTTATTCAACAGCCATTCATTCCACTGCAGGACATAGGCCTCTCTCAATTAAGTATTGAGAGGTTATATGGCACTGTCACCCTTGCCTGATTGGATGCCCTTCCTAATCAACCGCTAACATTTGTGCCACGGCGGTGACTTCCCCTACGACACCTGCGTTTGACTTCTCAAGGCGATATGTCGTTTTCTCGGGCTCGAGCAAGCAGTCAGAGTGCAGGCAATTTTTACGACTGCCGCGACGGGGAATTGAACCCGGGCCCACGAGGGTCGGAGTCCAGTGCTCTAACCACTGAGCTATCGCGGCAGTATATATATATATATATATATATATATATATATATATATATATATATATATATATATATATATATATATATATATATATATATATATATATATACATATATATATATATATATATATATATATATATATATATATATATATATATATATATATATATATATATATGTATATATATATATATATATATATATATATATATATATATATATATATATATATATACATATATATATAAATATATATATATGTGTATATATATATATATATATATATATATATATATATATATATATATATATATATATATATATATGTATATATATATATATATATATATATATATATATATATATATATATATATATATATATATATGTATATATATATATATATATATATATATATATATATATATATATATATATATATTTATATATATATATATATATATATATATATATATATATATATATATATATATATATATATATATATATATATATATATATATATATATATGCACTCTAGAGTAGCAGGCCAAACAACTTTAAATTAAGTTTCTATAGCATTCTGCACGAGTAATGAAATTTAGCGAAAATAACTTAAACAAACAAACTAACGACTGCACAAAAATACTTAAAACACGTGGTATAAAACACAGACACGACCATAAAAAATAATAATACCATGATGTTTCGAAAGTTTCATATCTTTTGAAACGTTACGATTTAATTGATTTCCTATTTCTTAAAATGCTTGAGTTTCATTTCACTGATCAGCTTATTAATGCATATTTAGGATAGTCTGGCAGTTCATTGCAACACGAAGAAAATCGCCCGGTATGCTAAAGTATCTGTAAATGTAAAAAAGTTTGTCGAGTGAAAGGTATGGAGTGAGGGATCCTGACAGGCAACGGGCAACTATATCACTATAGTTTATAGTTTAATACCTATACATATATATAACATGTTTAGTTTACACTTTCTACGTAAATATCATGTTCAGTTTACACTTACAACGTAAATATCCTGTTCAATCCATAAAATATCCATATACATCAACTTCAATTTATTGCCTACACGTAAGTATCATTTAACTTCAAACCTTATACATAAATATCATGTTCAGTTTATACCCTATACCTATAGCATATGGCGGATATAGAATGGTCATAGGCACATACAATTAGACACAGTGACAAGCGCAGTGGTTCGTATTTTCTTTTACACTCGCGACACCTTTCTCAAACCTCTGACACAGGCGCGACCGTGCGTTATCAATCAGTTGTTCTATTTATAATTCTTCCTATGTATTTTTTAGATTGAGAGGGAAAAATATACACCATTTTTTATCTATCTGAGGACATAGCTTCATAGTATATTCTTAGGACAACCATAATAACAAAATTCTAAAAAAAAACACTACAGGAGACAGCACTCCCGGACGCTTAGGAAACCAGGTTACGATATTTTTGCCCACTCTCTTCTACCATTCTCCCCTCTCTTTCCCTTCTTTTCTCCCTCTTTATTTTCCTCCCTCTTTTCCATCCTCTTTCATTCTCGTTAACGCCCCCTTCCTCCCTATTTTCCTTTCTTTCCCTCCTTTTCTCCCTCTCTCTTTCCCTTCTTTTATCCTTCTCTCTCCCCCCCCCCTTTTTCCTCATTCTTTCCTTCTCACCTACACCCTCTTTCCTCCCTCTCTCCTTCCCTCCCTCTCTCCCTCTCTCCTTCCCTCCCTCTCTCCCTCTCTCTTTCCCTCCATTTATCCTTCTCTCCTTCCCTCCCTCTCTCCTTCTCTACTTCCCTTCCTCTCTCCCTCTCTTTTTCCCTCCTTTTATCCTTCTCTCCTTCCCTCCCTCTCTCCCTCTCTCTTTCCCTCCTTTTATCCTTCTCTCCTTCCCTCCCTCTCTCCCTCTCTCTTTCCCTCCTTTTATCCTTCTCTCCTTCCTTCCCTCTCTCCCTCTCTCCTTCCCTCCCTCTCTCCCTCTCTTTCCCTCCTTTTATCCTTCCCTCCCTCTCTCCCTCTCTTTTTCCCTCCTTTTATCCTTCTATCCCTCCCTCTCTCTTTCCCTCCTTTTACCCTTCCTTCCCTCCCTCTCTCCCTCTCACTGTACGCAAACTGATATTCCTCTGTCTCTCCTCCGGGCCAGCTGTGCCACCGCCAGCTACGACCGCCAGTGCCGCCTGTGGTCGACCGAGAATGGCCAGTGCGTGGCCACGCTCAAGGGCCACTCCGACGTCGTGTTTGATGTCACCTTCGCCGGGAAGAATGAGTAAGGAACTGGGTCATATCTTGGGGTTTTGGGTCGACTGCATCCTTGTGTGGGTGTGTTTTATGTTTTGTTCGTGTTTGTTTTTCCTTGTCTACTTGGGGTTGTTTTCATGAAATTTAGGTGATAAGGTTAAAGGTAATTGGTGTGTTATAATTCTCTCTGTCTGTCTGTCTGTCTGTCTGTCTGTCTCTCTCTCTCTCTCTCTCTCCCTCTCTCTCTTTCTCTCTCTCTCTCTCTCTCTCTCTCTCTCTCTCTCTCTCTCTCTCTCTCTCTCTCTCTCTCTCTCTCTATCTCTATCTCTCTCTCTCTCTCTCTCTCTCTCTCTCTCTCTCTCTCTCCCTCCCTCCCTCCCTCCCACCCTCTCTCCCTCCATATCCCCCTCCCCTCTGTTCTCCCTCACCCCTCTCTCCCTCTCTCCCCCCCAGCGAACTCGTAGCGACCTCCAGCTTCGACGGCAGCCTCAGGGTATGGACCTCCCCCGAGGGCACCTGCGAACTGGCCCTTGAGGGACACGAAGGCCCAGTGGCAGTGGTCCGTCCGCTGGCTACCTCACGCCATCACCTCCTCACCGGCGGCATGGACACTTCGGCGAGGGTGTGGGACTTGCATATGGGTCAGTGGAGGGCGTGGGTTTGGTTGTGAGTGGTGGTGAGTGGTGGGCGTGGGTTTGGTTATGAGTGGCAGAAGTGGTGGTGAGTGGTGGGCGAGGGTTTGGGTGTGAGTGGTGGGCGTGGGTTTGGTTATGAGTGGTGGACGTGGGTTCGGTTGTGAGTGGTGGACGTGGGTTTGGTTGTGAGTGGTGGACGTGGGTTTGGTTGTGAGTGGTGGACGTGGGTTTGGTTGTGAGTGGTGGTGAGTGGGTTTGGTTGTGAGTGGTGGTGAGTGGGTTTGGTTGTGAGTGGTGGACGTGGGTTTGGTTGTGAGTGGTGGGCGAGGGTTTGGTTGTGAGTGGTGGGCGTGGGTTTGGTTATGAGTGGTGGACGTGGGTTTGGTTGTGAGTGGTGGACGTGGGTTTGGTTGTGAGTGGTGGTGAGTGGGTTTGGTTGTGAGTGGTGGTGAGTGGGTTTGGTTGTGAGTGGTGGTGAGTGGTGGGCGTGGGTTTGGTTGCGAGTGATAGGAGTGGTGGTGAGTGGTGGGCGTGGGTTTGGTTGTGAGTGGTGGTGAGTGGTGGGCGTGGGTTTGGTTGCGAGTGATAGGAGTGGTGGTGAGTGGTGGGCGTGGGTTTGGTTGCGAGTGGTGGTGAGTGGTGGGCGTGGTTTTGGCTGTGAATGGTGGTGAGTGGGTTTGGTTGCGAGTGGTAAGAGTGGTGGGCGTGGGTTTTGTTGCGAGTGGTAGAAGTGGTGGTAAGTGGGTTTGGTTGTGAGTGGTAGAAATGGTGGTGAGTGGTGGGCGTGGGTTTGGTTGCGAGTGGTAGAAGTGGTGGTGAGTGGTAAGATTGGTGTTGGTTGTGGTGGTACGTCTTAAGTCGTTGGTGTAGACTAGTGCTGGTAGGGAATTGGACTGCTTGGTATTAGTTGTGTTAGTATTTAGCACGAGTAGTCGTAGTGGTAGTTGTAGTGTTAACGTTAATAGTGCTGGTCGGTGAACAAGCGTTGGTAAACTGTAAATTGATTATGTTGTGTGTGTAGAACTATACACTAAGATACACTTGACAGGATGCTAAAGTTTGTTGACAGGCTGACAGATTAGTGATTATATTTATTCTACAACTGGCAAGTAAGTCGTAATAACAAAGCGAAATACAACGATGTTATTTAGACGCACAACACCTGTTACCACTATCCTCTCAAGTGCATAATTTCCCGTCTCGTTATAAAGAAATGAAATATAAACATAGTGAGTGCTAGTAATTAGTAGGATCTAGAAATAGTGAAGAATGGAATTTTAGATATAAGGTTGACGATATTCACAGGGGATTGTGTCATATAACGAGGGTGAACTGAGCGATAAACGGAACCATAATTTGAGAAGTGAAAATGTCGGTTTTTACCGTAGACTTATAGTGTGAGGATTTTTGCTCTTTTTAGCTTAAAAGATTTTTTCTATTCTACTCACACACTCGAAACCAATGTAATTTCAGCGTATCATATATACAGGGTGGGAGAGTTTGTAAATAAAGCACGATTGCTTGGTATAATAAGATATAAAATGGAGGAACACACATTTTTTTCGTGAATTATCCACTGAATAGTCATTCAGAAATGCAGAGGAAATGTGATATATACAAAATGTGATGCAATATGATATACCAATATATAAATATAAGAACATATTTCTTCGAGAATCACTTCCTAGAATTAGTGTAATCAGGAATAAAGAACAAAGCATATCTGCATCATTCAACCGTATTCACAACGACAATAAAACTAATATAAACATTTTTCTTCTAGGAGAGAACACCGTGACACTGGCAGGTCACAAGGGAGCTGTGGTGGGGGTAGGGGGGGACAGGTCAGGTGAGCTTCTGTACACAGCTTCCTTTGATGGCACCGTGAAACTATGGGACACACGCTCTTATACGTAAGTCAGAGATGAAGTGTACATTTTTGCTTTTATTTATTTTTTTATTTTTTGTTAAGGGTGAGGTAGAAAGAGATTGAAAGAGGCGGGGAGGAGGAGGGGGGATTGTTGTGTGGTGTATATTTTTAAAGATTTTTTCTTTTCTGATATGATGGAGGGATAGTTTGTGTTTGTTGTGGTGTTTTTTTTGTTTTTTTGTTTCTTTTATTCCTCTTTTCTGTGTTTTTTTTTTTTGTCTCCCCGCCTGTCTGTTTGTTTTTCTCTCTCTCTCTGCTCTCTCTCTCTCTCTCTCTCTCTCTCTCTCTCTCTCTCTCTCTCTCTCTTTCTCTCTCTCCCATCCCTCCCTCCCTCCCTCCCTCCCTCCCTCCCCCATCTCTCCCCTCCCACTCCCTCCTCACCCTCCCTCCCTCCCTCCTCATATCACCCCCCTCCTTACCTCCCTCTCCCCCCCCCAGATGCAGCTCCACCCTCCAAGGTCACGAAGGCGAGGTCAACGGCGCTGACCTGAGCTGGTGTGGGCGGTACCTGGCTTCGTGGGGAACGGATGCCGCCGCCCTCCTCTGGGACGTCCGCCAGGCCGAC